ATGGTGGACAGAGCGTTGTTTTTCTGCTTCTCCATAACGAGATGATGTCAGGAGTGTACAAGTCCACGAAGCAGATGAAAATGGAAAATGCAATTATTACTAAGCCGGAAATCACGGGGTTTCTAGTGGAACAGGATTGATAGAAAGGTTTACAAAAGATATCTCAAGGGTCACGGATGAATTACATATCATGAAGTTCATTTGTAAAGCTTTCTGGACTACAGTATTCAAGAAACAAATTGACACTCTAAGAACAAAGCATCAGGACATCTATGTACTTTGGGACAACAAATTTTGTCTGCTTGCTCAAACGTCTACAGAAAAACAGTACTTAGAACATGCATCTAAGTATTTAACATTTACATGTGACTTAATCAGAGGTGGTTCATCAAGGCTGGGATTAAAAAGTATTTTAACAGTTGAAGTGGCTTCAATCAATATCTGTCTATGATGATACAGAAATTGAAGAACATGTTGAAATGCAAGGCTTCAACAGTTTAAAGAGTTAAATTAGTTATGTATAAAGAATTTCAAGTAGCAATGATTTAATTACATTGTTGGACATTTGTGTTGATTAAAGCTATTTGCTAACTTGTATAATGAAAGATGTACTGTTAAGCAGGAGTAAGGTTATATTTTATCAATTTAACACAGACCAAATTAAAGCAGATAAAGAGATACCATAATATAACCTTTACTGAAAGTATTCAGAATGAAAAAAAAATCCTGATTTCAAATAAATAAACACCTAGATGTAGAATCCTTATTTTAAACATTATTTGCTTAGAGCGCTATGTATTGAACCACAGCTGGAAAAGCAAAACTCAGGATTTGAGAAATTAGAATAAAGTATGCACGAGTCAGACTCATTTGTGTAAGAATGAACAAATTTTGTTTTTGTCTCATGAATTTGTTTTAGTTATTTAAAAAAGCAAACAGCAAAAAAGACATGCTAGTAAAGCATAACATTAAAGATATTTCTATAGGAATACTAATCTATTGTGGCTTAGATACATTTTCTAATAGTGTCACTTATTGCAAGTAATATTTGATTATATATCCTTGCTATTTCAAGTTTCATTTGTTTGCACTGACTCTGTGAAAAGCCAGATAGCAGTTAGATAGCAGTTACTAACTGTAAACTAACAGTAAGCTAACTGTAAGCTAACTGTCTAGCTTTGGCTGGTGTGGCTCAGTGGATTGAGTGCCAGCCTGCAAACCAAAGGGTTGAAGGTTTGATTCCCAGTCAGGGCACATGCCTAGGTTTTAAACCAGTTCTCCAGTAGTGGGTGCAAGAGAAGCAAACACACATTGATGTTTCTCTGCCTTTCTTCCTTTCTCTCTCTAAAAATAAATAAATAACATATTTTTTAAAAAAGATAACTCTGACAAGGATTCAAAGTCATTTAGTATTTATTGAAGGAAGAATATATCTTACATAATAGATGTCCACGTAATAAAATATACTGCGTTGAAAATTAAGATTGACTTTTACTCTCATCAGATTAATAACATATTTGATAACTCTTCCCAGCTTTTTATGTTTTTTATTCACTAGCTAATTTAATTTTTCCAAACCCCCCCTATGGTAGATATGGTGGGATTGCTAGATGATATGGTAGTTCTAATTTTAATGTTCTGAGGAATTTGCATGCTGTTTTCTATGGCAGCTACACCATTTTTCATTTCCACCAACAGTGTACAAGAGTTTCAATTTCTCCACATTCTTGTCAAAACTTATTGTCTTTTTTTTTTAATGGCTACCCTAACAGGTGTGGGTTGATATCTTATTGTGGTTTTGATTTGCATTTCCCTAATAGTTAGTGATATAGGGATGTTGAACATCTATTTATATGTCTGCTGGCCATTTGTATGTCTTCTTTGTAGAAATAAATAGTCAAGTCTTTAGCTCACTTGTAAATTGGGTTTTAGGAGATTTTTTGCTATTGGGTTAGGGTTTTGTATTTTGGAAATTAACCCCTATTGTTTGCAAATACTTTTTCCATTATGTATGTTGCCTTTTTACTTGATTGTTTCCTTTTCTACACAGAAACTTTTCAGTTTGATATAATCTCACTTATCTACTTTTGCTTTTGGTGTCACATTCATGAAATTACTGCCAAGACTAACATCATAAAACTTTTTTCGTGTTTTCTTCTGGGAGTTGTGAAGTTTCAGAAGACAATTGCTTTTTGTCTACTGAGCCTGTACCCTACAATCTTCTTAAGCTCATTTAATTGTTCTAATTTATCTAAAACTCCACAGGTTTTTCTACACAGATGATCATGTTCCTTGGGTGTCTTAGTCCACCTGAGCTGCTATAATAAAATACACACGCTGGGTGGCTTATAAACAACAGAAATTTATTTCTCTCCATTGTGGTGGCTGGGAGTCTGAGATTAGGGTACATGCATGGTGAAGTTCTACGTCCGGAGAGATCCCTCTCCTTGCTTATTGCTGTGTCTTCACATGGTGGAAGGGGCTAGTGAGCTCTGTGGGATCTTTTTATTAACAGCACTAATCCTATTCATGAGAGCTCCACTCTCATGACCTAAGTACCTCCAGAAGGCCTCACCTTCTAGTTCTCATTGAAGACCACAATCACACTGGGCATTAGGATTTCAACATATAAATTGTGGGGGGAGGGTGCAAAACCATCTAGACTATAACACTGAGAATATAAACATTTATTTCATCTTTTTTAATCAAGAGGCCTTTTGTTTCTTTTTTCATGCCTGGTTGCACTGTCTAGAACCTTCAGTGAGTGCAATGTTGAATAGAAGTTGTGAAAGTGGACACCCCTGCGTTGCTCCTGATTTTAGAAAGAAAACATTCAGTCTTTAACCGTGACATCTGATTTTTTGTAAATGGCTTTTATCAGATGGAATTCCCTTCTATCCTAGTTTGCTGAGTTGTTTTTTTATAAATCAGGAATAGATGTTGAACCTTATCAAATTTTTTATAGATCCATATCGACCATGTACATTTTCTTTCCAAACTTGTTAATATGGTATATTTCTTTGATTGGTTTTAAAATGCTAAACCAACCCCATATTCTTGTGATAAACCTCACTTGGACATGATGTATTATCCTTTTAATATAATGTTGTGTTCATTTGCTAAAATGTTTAGAATTTTTACATCTATGATCATTTTGCATCTATGTTATGCATTATGAACACAGATGAAGTCTGCTTATATGTACAATTTAAAATTTCCTCTCTTTCTCTCTCTAGCTCTTGCTCTCACTCTTGTTCCTGCCTGGTTTTGGTATCAAGGTAATGCTAGCCTCGTAAAATGAACTGAAGTGTTCTCTTGTATTTAAATTTTTGGAAATATTTGTGTGGAATTAATATTGTTTTAATATTAATTCTTATTTAATACTAATCCTTAAATCTTTGAAGACTTTAACCAGTGAAGCCACATGGATATGGAGTTTTCTTTCTAGGAAGAGTTTTAACTACAATTGCAATTTCTATAATTGATATGTGTCTATTTGTGCTTTCTATTTCTTGAATAAGCTTTAGAAATTTATGTCTTTTAAGGAACTTTTCCATTTCATGTAAGTTGTCAAATTTATTAATATAAAATTGTTTATAATATTGCTTTACTGTTCTTTTGCAATCTGTAGTAATGTCACCTCTCTAATTTCTGATGTTGGTAATTTGTGCCCTCCTTTTTTCTTTTTGAAGGGGAATTTCTATTACTGTTATGGACAGAAAACTCAACAGTATACACTTAGCCAAGGTTAGTGGTCAGTTCTTTGGCCTTTGCTTTTTCCAGTTTAGCAATATGAGCCACCGACTTTGGACCTGGGAAATTACCTACCCAGTGTCAGCAGATCTCTTTCTATCTGTCATTGTAATTCACCCAAATAGCTTCCACCAGCTTAGCTAGAGCTTCTTTGTCTTCCAAGTTAACCTATGTGAATGTAATGATGGTGTTGACCTTCCTGTGTACTGGGGTCTGGCCTTCCCCTTTGTAATACTATAGGGAATCCTTACTTTACAGCATAGGGCAGGCAGGAAGACAAGCAGCTTGATGGGATCCACATCATGTGCAATCACTACCAGCTGCAACTTCCTGTCCTCCAAGATTATGGCAGTGTTAACCTCTACAAGAAGGACAGGTGGCCTCTTAGTAGGGACATCCCCTTTGCCAGCAGCTTTTTTGTCAGCCCAAGCCAACAATCTCTGCTATTTCTCTTGCTTTGTCTCCAGTCTGTGCTTGTGGGCAAGGTTAGGTAGTTGAGTAGCTGTTTGGCACACTAAATGCCTGAATGAACTGGTTAATTGCAGGAGGTACTTTCAGACTCTTACAAAGAACATTCCTTTGCCTCTGCAGCAGATGTAATGGGGCCATTTGACAAAGCAGGTGAGGTCCCCTTTGGGCTGGATGTTTGGTCCAATGCCAAAATTTAGGGGCCTTTTCTCAAACAAGGAATTTACCATCTTCTTGGCCTCCTGCTTCACAACATCAGGGGCCAGTGCCACCTTCTTCCTTTTAGCCTTCTTTCCTTTTGGCATCTTGGGCAGCAGGAGAAGAGACCCATTTTTCTTTCTATTGATGAGTCTAGCTAGAAGGTTGTCAATTTTATAGATCTCAAAGAACCAGCTTTTGGTTTTATTAATTTTCTCTATCATTTTTCTGTTTTCTATTTCATTTTAGTTTTTTCCTTCTGTTTATTTTGGGCTTAATTTGCTCTACTTATTATAGTTTTTAAAATTGTTCACACATTTCCTTCTAATATTGCAGTTTTTTGGTATAGATATTTTCCTGAGTACTGCTTTAGTGGCATCCCACAAATTCTGATGTGTTGTGTTTTCATTTTATTTGGGTAGAGTGTCAGTTAGATTCATGATGACACATGGCTTACAAAGTTTCCCGGGGATCATCTCCATCTCAGTTAAACCTAAAGAAAAAAGAACATGGAGATAAATGCTTGGGGGCTTTTTATGACATCACTTCCACTCAAATTCCATTGGTTAGAATTCAGTTACATGGCTTCACCTAATGGTATGGGAAGTTGGGATATGTAGTCTAGCTTTTTGCCTGGGAAGAAGAGGAAAATGTGTTTGGACAAACAGCCATCAAGCTCTTTTTATTTTCTGGAAGACCTTGTATAAGATAAGAAATACTTGAATCATGGGTATACAGTAGAAATTGTAAAGTTATTGGGGCCTGCTTTTTCCTTTGGGGGAAATTTTGTAACTGCTGATTCAATATAATGGATACATGTTCATTTAGGTTTTCTAGTACTTCTTGAGTCACTTTTTGTAAGTCATTTTTTAGGTATATATAACTTATTATAAGTTTTAAAACAGCATAAATTTGTTTAAAGTATTTTCTTAATCTCTGCTATAACTCTGTTTGTCCTTCATTTTTAATATTGTTTACGTATGTCTTTTTAATTTGGTTAATCTTAGTAGAAGTCTATCATCTTATTATTCTTTACCAAAAATCTTAATTTGCATTTCATTAATTTCTGTTATTTCCTTCCTCTACATTATATGGGCTTATTTTGACAGTCCTTTTCAACTTGTAATTTGAATGCCAAGCTCATTATTTTTCAGATTTCCTTTCTAATATATGCATTTAGTGCCATATATTTCCCTTGAATTTGGCTCCAGGTTTGTTGCTGCAGATATTTATAGAGAATGCTTTCATTTTTGGTTCTACGTATTTCCATTGATTTCTTCTTTAATGCATGAGTTATTTACAATGTGATTTTAAATTTCCACAAATATGGCAGCTTTAGGGTATGTATTAGGTTATAAATTCCAAAATTTATTGTATAGTTTTCTGAGATGTGATATGTGTAACAATAATTATGTAAAGCTTGTTTAGTCCTCCTTTATAGCCTGATATATGCATGGTAAGTTTGAGACATCTTACCATTTATTTTATTAATTCCTTGCAACATTATCTTAATTATTCTTTATTCTAATTCTGTGTGATAGATAGTATGACTCTCATTTTTCAAATAGAACATTAAAATCCAGTCAATGTAATAATAAACTTTCAGATCTAGTTAGTCTGATATCCATCAAAAGCAGACACCAACTAAAACCACCAGTGTGGCCAACTTTGTATACTGGTTGCATATGAGCCCTACTTATATTTCATCATAGATTTTGAAACCTCTGGGCAAGGATTCATTCTTATTTAAATGGATTTTTATCCCTTGCTTGGTGCCTCAAACAGTATTTCACACATATTTGGTGTTCAATAGATGTTGGTTGAATTGGAGTAAACATGAGCCTGAAATATGGAAAAACCCTAAAAATTTATAATAAATGGGTAATTTATGAATACTCAAAAAATAAAATAGGACTTGCATTCTGGTATAATCACAAAAAATAATCAGAAAATACTTCTGGTTAATGTGTGTGTATGTGTGTGTGTGTATCTCCATACATCCTTTAACATACCTAACTAGATATAAATAAGGGATATTTCTTTATTTATACCTAGATATAGATATATATGTTAAAGGATATATGGGCAGAGGAAGAGAGACTTACAAAGGCAATAATGGTATAGACAGAGAAAAGGGAAGAAAACAAGGTGAATTTAGGTTACTAATGCCAAGACAAGAGAGAGAATAGTCAATAGTGATGTTTTTATTTTGTGTTAATGAAGTTATTTCATGACCTTTGAAATAGAAGTTGTGAAGAACTAAAAATTTCCACTTTAAGAGTTTTGGCTGCAAATGGTAAGAAAAGGATCAGTTGTAAGCTGGAAAGTGCTGTGGGTAAAAGAGAGGTGTTTTGTTTTTTTTTGGTTGGTTGGTTGGTTCATTTGTTTGTTAAGATGGAAGAGTTATGACCTGGTTTAAGACAGCCTCTTTACCTATGTCTTACTCATTCCATAAGATTCAGCTCAGCTATTATCTTAAGGAAACCATTCCTGCATTTGGTCAAATTGCTTCTGTTGTCTTAGCATTGTCAACAGGCCATCATAGAACTTAGAATATTTTAATGAATATATCAGTTTAAATATCTTGTCCTCTCCAGACTATAAACATTTTGATCAAGTGCTTCTTATCTTTGAATCATCAATTCTTGGCACTAACTAATCTATGGAGCCATTTTGTTTTAACTTACTCCTATCCTTTTACAAATCTTTCTGTGTCTGTATTTTGTTATTTTTTCTCTTACAACAACTGTAATACTTTTTAACAGCAATTATTCTTTTTCACATAACTAAGCAACATACTTATATTACTCATTTTAAAAACATTTTATTATTTATTTTTTAGAGGGAGAAAGAGAGGGTAAGAAGCATCAGCGTGTGGTTGCCTCTTGCACATTCCCTACTGGGGACCTGGCCTGCAACCAAGGCATGTGCCCTCACTGTAATCAAACCAGCAACCTTTTGGTTTGCAGGCCGGCACTCAATCCACTGAGCCACACCAGCCAGGGCTCTTTTTTGTAATACAAACATCTAGCCAGTGCCTACCATTCATTCATTGACCATTAAATTATTTTTTGAGTAACCAGTCATTTTAAATTCTGAGACTTACCACAGTGAAAAAAAAGACTTATTTTCTTATGAAAGAAGAGACAATAGACAATAAACCAATACATATAAAAGATTACTTATGATAGTAATTAATAAAAACAAAGAAACATGGTGATATGATAGAATGACTGTTGAAAGTGAGGAGTCCTTACTTTAGACAGGATACTTAAGGGTAGAATCAAGAAAGTAAAAATACTACTTTTGTATATTAGGAATTACATATGAATCTTCAAAAAAACTTTTGGTGAGTTTTCCAATATACACGGTAGAAAATTTGAATATACAGAAAAGTCTGGAATGGAACATTATAACTATAAGCCCTTATTCCAAGAATAACTAATGTTAATTATTTTCCTTATACAAATATTTCTCACTTTTTCTCTTTGAATAAATTGAGACCATATAGTTCTCATATTTTTTAATTATTTGAGAAAGTAAGAAAAGTGAAAATAAAAAAGGACAAAAAAATCTATGTGTCTCCTACTAAATAAATATTTTTGATCATATAAACTTCAAATTTTTAACTTTTTAAAGATAATATATTGTAATGATAAGTTTATGTTTTGTGTATAATCTCATTCCCCTCATGTTCTCTCCAGACACAACTAATATGAATTTGATTTATTTTAATACTTTTGCTAGATTAACATTTTAAAAATACTATTATTTTATGTTTTCTTTTAATGTGCATAAATGACATTAGTACATAACTGGAATAATGGAATATAAATTTATAGAAATTTCTTTTTTCACTGATCATTAATTCTAGTTTTTAGTTTTATTCATTCTGGCACAAATAGATCTAGTTTATTTTATTTATAAGCCATTAGTGTTAAGCTTGATGAATTTTCACTGAATACATCTATGCAACCAGTACCTAGTATAAGAAACAGACCATTAACAGCCTCCCTGAACTCTTCCTGATCTGTATTTGAACTTTATGTCTATCTTCTTTTGTTCAGCATTGTTTATGAAATTAATTCATATCATTGTGCATATAGTTATTGTCTCTTATTGTTATATGGTATTTTGTTTTCTTAAATCAATTCAACTTTGTATTTCTCTTAAGATTTTTTATTTATTTATTTTTAGAGGGAGGGGAAGGGAAGGAGAAAGAGAGGGAGAGAAACACCGATGTGTGATTGCCTCTCATGCACCGCCCCCCAATGGGGACCTGGCCCTCAACCCAAGCATGTGCCCTGATGGAATCAAACCGAGACATTTTGGTTCATAAACTAGAGCTTGATCCACTGAGCCGCACCAGCCAGGGCCAATTCAACTTTTTAAATTTATTAATTCAACTATTAATGGGTATTTGAGCAGTTTCCAACTTGTGGCTCTAAAATAGTGATACTATAAACATTCCAGGACATTTTTTTGTTAACATATGTACATACTTCAGTTTGGTACATAGATAAGAGTCACTGGCCCTGGGCTACATATATGTTCAGCTTTACTGATAATGCCAAACAGTCTTCCAAGGTATTACACAAAATTGCATTCCTATCGGCGCTGTTTGAGAGTTCAGGTTTCTCTGCCTCCCTAGCAACACTTGATATTTTCTGCCCTTTCCATTTTTAGGCTTCAAACAGAGTTGTCATATTATCTCGTTGTAGTTTAATTTACACTTCCTTGGTTATTAATGAAGTTTTTCTGTGTTTATTGGCCATTTAGATATTCTCTTTTATGATACCTTTATATATTTAGCATTCATACCTTTTTTCTAAAAAAATCTGAAGATATTCTGTGTCTATTCATTCAACCTACATAAGGGAGCACCTTGGCAATTTTTAAATTACTATTGTTCTGGCACTAGTTGTATGCCTTTGAGTAAGTTACTTAACCTAATTTTGCTTGTTTCCTCATCTGTAAAGTGGGAAATAATAGTATTTAACTCATAGAGTTGTGAGAATTATATAAAACACTTTGAACAGTGCCTGTCATATAGTATTTGCTCTATAAATATTAGATATTATTGTTTTTGGTGAAAGGATATACAATATATGTCAAGGGGACAGAATAGAGAGAGTACAGAAATTGACACAAATATAGCTAATTGATTTTTGACAAGGATGCAAAGGCAACTCAATGAAGAAAGGTTAGTCTTTTCAAAAATAGTGTTGGACCAGTGGATATACATATGAAAAAATAAGAACTTGGTTCATACCTTTCACCTTATGCAAAAATTAATATAAAATGAATAATAAATTAAATGTAAACATAAAACTATAAATATTTTATAAGAAAACATTGAAGAAAATCTCCATGACCTGGGTTAGGCAAAAAATTCTCAGATAAGACTCATAGAAAAACCCACAGAAAAAAAGTTGATAAATTGGACATCAACAAAATAAAAAAGTTTTTCTCTGTGTAAGACACTTAAGAGAACTGGAAAGACAGTCACATATTGGGAAAAAATATTTCCAAATCACATATCTAATCAAGGACTTGTATCCAGAATGTATGAAGAATTCTGAAAAGTTAGCAAAGATTTAAACACATACTTCACTGAAGAAGATATTTGGATGGCAAATAAGCACATGGCAAGATGCTCAACATCATTATTCACTAAGGAAATGAAAATAAAACCACAGTGAAAAGCCACTATACAGGTATTAGAATGGCTGAAATAAAACTGGCAGTGTGAAGTGGTAGCAATGATACAGAGCAAGTGGAACTATTGTATATTGCTGGTGGGAAAGCAAGACAGTACAGTCACTCTGGCAAGCAGTTTGGCAGTTTCTCATAAATTTAAATATATACTTCCTACCTGACACTCCTGAAATAAGAACTTATATTTAAACAAATATCTGTATGCAAGTATATAGTAGCTTTTCCCCTAACACCCCCAAGCTGGAAACAACCAAATGTCTCTCAGCTGGGGAATAAACAAACTGTGGTACATCTATAAAATGAAATGTTACTCAAGAATAAAAATATATGAACTATTGATACATGCAGTAACATGGATGAATCTCAACTGCATTATGCAAAGTGGAAAAAGGCTAGACTCAAAAAGCCATATGTTGTATAATACCATATATAAGAAATCTGGAAAGGCAAAAGTATAAGGTTGAAGAATGTGAATGGACAATAATTAGTGGTTACCAGCAGTTAGTGCTTGACTGCTTACAGGCAGTGTGAGGAAATTTGGGGCAGTGGTGGGGTGGGGGGGTGATGGAAGTGTTCTGTAAGTTGATTGTGGTAATGATTAAACACCCTTTGTATTTTCCTAAACTTATAAAACTGCAAACACATGCACAAAAGTGAATTTTACTATGCACAAATTTAAATATTTTTAAAGTAAAAATCTTAGGTTGTATCTCTTTCAACATTGCTTCTCAGCTGCTTCTCTATTCTCTCTTTTGGAACCCTTATTTGCTTCATGTTACATATTCAATATTTTCTAAATGTAATTTATTTATCATATTTTTATTTCTTTATGTAACTGGGAACATTTCTCAGTATTATCATTTATTTCATTAATTATGTTCAAGGAAGAGTTTACTCCATTTTAACATTTTTGAAATTTTTATTCCCAAGATTCTTCCTTAATTCATTTTTGGTCTTTATAAGTGCCTCAGGACTCCCTTCTCTAAGAGACTTTGGTAATACTATATCATTCACTGTGCCAGAGAGTGGTTTCATCTAGGTCTTATCTCAATGATTTTCTTTGCTTCTTCTAGCTAATTCCTGCTTCCAGATCTAGTATGCCTGTGGTTTTAGTCCCTACTTATTTGTCTGTTGTTTTTCTTCTTTTGTCCACAGAGATCTTTATCTTATATCCAAGTACAACTATGTCTTTAAAATTTTTAATTTTTAAAGAAGATTTTATTTATTTATTTTTAGACAGAAGGGAGGAAAGGGAGAAAGAAAAGAGAAATGTCAATTTGTGGTTGCCTGTCATATACCCCCCACTAGGGACCTGGCTTGCAACCCAGGCATGTGCCCTGACTGGGAATCAAACCAGCAACCCTTTGGTTAGCAGGCTGGTGCTCAATCCACTCAGCCACATCAGCCAGGGGCTGTCTTTAAAATTTTTTAAATGTGAGTTTAACTATCTTGGTGTTATCACTTAATACTATCTGACATCTTATACCACTACATCAGTGATTCTCAACTAGGGCAATTTTGCCCACCTTCCAGAATACATGTTAATACCTGGAGACACTTCTTGTACAATGCATAGGACAGTCCCTGCAACAAATTATCTGGTTCAAATTGCTGCCTTTTGGACAGCAATTCCATTGCTGGAATTATACCCTAAGAACTCTGAATCACCAATCCAAAAGAACCCATGCACCCCAATGTTCATAGCAGCACAATTTACAATAGCCAAGTGCTGAAAGCAACCTAAGTGCCCATCAGTAAATTAGTGGATCAAAAAACTGTGGTACATTTACACAATGGAATACTATACAACAGAAAGAAAGCAGTTCCTACCCTTTGTGACAGCATGGATGGAACTAGAGAATAGTATCCTAAGTGAAATAAGCCAGGTGATAAAAGACAAATACATACCATATGATCTCACCTATAAGTGGAACCTAATCAACAAAACAAACAAGCAAGCAAAGTAAAACCAGAGACATTGAAATAAAGAACAAACTAACAGTGACCAGAGAGGAGGATGGAGGGGGATAACAGGGGAAAGAAGGGGAAGGGTTATCAAGGAACCTGTGTAAAGGACCCCTTGGATAAAGCCAAAGGGGGCAGGATTGAAGGTGTGGGTGGATGGGACAAGGAAGAGTGGTAGGGAGAAAATGGAGACAACTGTACTTGAACAACAATAAAAAAAAAAAAGATCGATAGTGTTGAGGTTAAGAAACCCTGAACTAAATTAAAGAATACTATAAATTTCTCTTATAATATCATCCTAACTGACTTAATTGACTTCATAATGTGAGGCATTTAGAGGTTTTTTTGTATTATAAATATCACTTTGATTATCAGTCTTATATAACCTTCTTAGTACAATTAATTCCCAAATGTAGACATTTCTGAACCAAAAGAAAACTAAGATTTAAGAAGCTAGAAATTAAGGAAAAAAAACTGAGGTTTTTGAAAGCTGGAAATTACTTAGGAAACAAAGTATGAGAACAGTCTTTATCATGTCATATGCCTAACAGAACTTACCATGTGTTTATATATAAAGATCTTCTGTTAGTTTTACACTTTTAAACCCCTTTCTTCCCCCAAATAATATACTCTTAGGTTGTTTTAGGGCCCTTCAAGCTCTACATAGCCTTCTGTGAAAGCTTTCTACAGCTTGCTTTCTGCTTAAGGAGCATATTTCAGAATCCTAAAGAATCCTTGACCACTCTGACTACAATTGCCTTTTTTATTCCTTTTTCCTTTCATAGATACCAGCATTAAGGCTATTGGTGTTAAGATAATAGAATAAACAGAGAACTGGCTTTAATTTGCTACCTAACCTTAGTTTAGTTACTTCTCTTACCTGGGCCTCAATTTTAACACCTATAAAAAGGAGTTATACCTATAATTCCTATGGGCTTTTTCAGTTATAGACATGTGATATGCTACTATTTTATATTGTTTTTATTTAGGTTTGGCTATGATCTTTTACTGTTCTTGAGAGAAAGCATAGGTAAAACACTTTAAAATTCCTAAGATCTTTAAAAATCCCTTATACTCGTTCTTCATTTCCCTCATCTAACTTTTTCTAGTGATTGATAATCAAAATCTTAAAATGAAGTGTCTTACTTTGGAGGGCTGCAAAATGTGATACTAGAAAAATAAATTCACAGTGAGATAGGGAAGGGAGAAAACTAGGTAAGAAAAAAAGGAGGTGACAGCTATACAAAAAGAAACAAAACCTCAGTCTCAAATCCTGGCAGGGTGACAGAAATGCACCCTGGGCCCTAATCAACATGAGGCCCTGTATAATTCTCAAACTCAGGGTCTTGAAATTTATTAGAATTGTACAGCAGCAGAATTCAGGTCTCCTGACTTCCTAGTTAATATTGTAACATGCTACGTTTAACACACTATGTGGTGTCATTTAAAATATTATATCACTTAATTTTACCTAGAGATTGAGGATACATGCATGAAATATTCTTTTATAATTTATTTGTATAGGTTCTTTTTATCACTTAACCTATTTTCTGGCCGCTGGGGCTGTTATGTTCGGAATTGGTTTCTTTGCTTTGGCATCAGCTTTATGGTTCCTGATTTGCAAACGAAGGTAAGGTTTATCAGAATATTTTACTTTTTCTCTTTTCAAAATCCAATGAAAGACTTTTTCAAATGGTATTAAATTTAAATAATTAAAATAGTGTTGAACCTGTAATTTGAAGTTTGGTTATAGACCCTTTGATTGAGAGGGAAAGTTTTCATGTTTAAAGTAGCCTAAAAAGTAAAGTCCTAGTAGTATAATTGTCCAGATGGTATAATAACAATCTTCATGCATTAAAATTTTTAAAAATGATGACATCTATTGTATTCTCTAGAAGACATATTTCAAATTATAATATAAAGCTAGAATTTTTTAAAAATTTTCACTACTAATAGAGGTTATAAACATAACTGACAGGAAGATTCCCATTCTTGAGAAGATACTTAAGAGCTATAGTCTTTGGCCAGACAGAAAAAGAAAAAGATACTTGACACCTCAGTTCTTATCAACCTTAAAATTTGGTGTTTTTTTAATTGAATTTATTGGGATGACACTGGTTAATAAAATTATGCATGTTTCAGGTGTACAGTTGTATAATACATTATCTGTATATTGTATTGTGTGCTCACCATTCCTAGACAAGCCCCCTTGCATCACCATTTGTCTGCAATTTACACTATTCCACCTTCCCACACTTCCCTTTCCTTCTGGTAATCATGAGAGGGAAATTGTTGTGTGGGTCTATATGTTGCTTTTTCAGTGGGGCTTCATCCCTTCAACTTTTTCACTCAGCCCCGCTACTTCCATCCCCTTTCACATCTGTCAGTCTGTTCTGTGTCCAGGAGACTGTTTCTATTATATGTTAGGTTGCCTCTCATATGCTCCCTATTGGGGATCTGGCCTACAACCCAGGCATGTGTCCTGTTTGGGATTTGAACTAGCGACCCTTTGGTTTGCAGGCTGGCACTCAATCCACTGAGCCACACCAGCCAGGGCCTTGTTGAGGATTTTAGTAACTATGTTCATCAGATATATTGGCCTATGGTTTTCTTTCTTTCTGGTATCTTTATCTGGCGTTGGAATCAGATTAATGCTGCCCTAGTAAAATGAGCTTGGGAGTCTTCCCTCCTCTTAAATTTTTTGAAATAGTTTGAGAAGGACAGGTGTAAGTTCTTTTTTGAATGTTTGTTAAAATTCACATCTGACGACTTCCAGTCCCAAATTTTTGTTTGTTGGGAGTTTTATGATACTGGTTCAGTTCTATTTGTGTAATCAGTCTGCTTAGGTTGACTGGTTCTTCCTTATGCAGTTTTGTAAGATTGTATGTCCAGGAATTTATCCATTTTGTCCAGATTGTCCAATTTGTTGGCATATTTGTTTGGAATATTTCCTTAAAATATTTTGTATTTCTTGGGTGTCAGTTTTTATTTCTCTTTCATTTCTGATTTTCTTTACTTCGGTCTTCTTTTTTCTACATGAGTTTGGTTAAAGGTTAGTCTATCTTGATTATCTTTTCAAAGAGCCAGCTCTTGGTTTTATAGATCTTTTGTATTGTTTTGTTAGGTTCTGTTTCATTTATTTCTGCTCTGATCTTTGTCATTACCTTTCTTCTGTTCATTTTGGGCTTTATTATTTTTTTTCTCCCAAGTTTCTTTTCAGTGTAAAGTTAGATTGTTTATTTGAGCTTTTTCTTGTTTCTTGAGATAGGTCAGTAATGCTATAAATTTCCCTCTTATGACTTCTTTGGCTGTGTCTCATAAATTTGGGGTTGTTGTTTTCTCATTTTATTTATTCCATGGTATCTTTTTATTTCTTCCTTGATCTCGTTGTTAACCAACACATTGTTTAGTGACATGTTATTTAGCCTCTATGTTTTGTGTGTTTTTCAGTTTTTAACTTGTGATTGATTTCTAGTTTCATAACATTATGGTTAGAAAAGATGCTTGCCTGATATGATTTAAGTCTTCTTCTGTTTATTGATATTTGTTTTGTACCCTAACATGTGGTCTCTCCTAGAAAATGTTTCACGTTCACTTGAAAAGAATGTACATTCTACTGCTCTGGGGTGAAATGCTCAGAAAGTATCAATGAAATCTATCTGATCTAGTGTGTCATTTAAGGCCACCATTTCCTTGTTGATTTATTTTTATCTGAAAGCTTTATCCACTGATGTCAATGGGGTGTTAAAATCCCATACTATGCCCTAGCTGCTGTGTGGCTCAGTGGACTGAGTACCAGCCTCTGAAAAAATTTGCCAGTTCGATGCCCATTCAGGGCACATGCCTGGATTGCAGGCCAGGTCCCCAGTAGGGGGTGCTTGAGAGGCAACCACACATTTATGTTTCTCTTCCTCTCTTTCTCCCTCCCCTCCCCTCTCTCTAAAAATAAATAAATAAAATCTTCTAAAAAGAAAAAGAAACATACTATGACTATACAGTTACTATTACTGTCAATCTCCCTTTATGTCCATTTGCCTTACTTATTTTGGTGATCCTATGTTAGGTGCATATATGTGTACAGGGGTTATATCTTCTTGTTGGACTGCTCCCTTTATCATTATGTATTGTCCTTCTTTGTCTTTATTATAGCCTTTATTTTAAAGTTCTTTTGTCAGATATAAGTATTGCTACCCCAGCTTTTTTTATTTGTATTTGCATGAAACATCTTTTTCCATCCCTTTATTTTTGGTCTGTGTGTATCTTTAATTTTGCGGTGGGTTTCTTGTAGACAGCATGTACATGGGCCTTGTTTTCTTATCCATTCAGCTACCCTATGTCTTTTGATTGGAGCATTTAAGCCATTTACATTTAAAGTGATTATTGATAGGTACTTATTTGTTGTCATTTTATACTTTTAACTATGTTTCTCTGTGGTTGTCTTCTTCTCTTTCAGTCCTCTACCTCTTTTTTCTTTCCTTCCTCCTTCTCATCCCCTTTTTCAAGGCTAATTAACATTTCTTGTAATACTGGTTTGGTGGTAACAAACTCCTTTAGCTTTTCTTGTCTGGGAAGCTCTTTATTTCTCCCTTCAATTTAAATGATAGACTTGCTTAGTAAATTAGTCTTGTTTGTACATCCTTGCTTTTCATCATTTTGAATATTTCATGCCAAACCCTCTGGCCTGAAATGTCTCTGCTGAGAAATCAGCTGTTAGTGTTATGGTAGCTCCCTTGTAGGCAACTGTGTTTCTCTTGCTGTTTTAAAGAATCTCTCTTTGTCTTTAACCTTTGCTGTTTTAATTGTGATATGTCTTATGTGGGCCTCCTTAGGCTCATTTTATGTGAGACTCTCTGTGGTTCCATGACTTGTGTGTCTTTTTCCTTCACCAGGTTAAGCAAGTGTTTGATCATTAGTTCTTCAGATAGGCTCTTGATCCCTTGCTCTCCCTCTTCTCCTTCTGGTACCCCTGTAATGAAGATGTTGTTATACTTCATGTTGTCTACAAAAGTTATTTAAACTATCTTCATTTTTTAAATTCTACTTTTTGCTGCTCTGATTGGGTGTTTCCTACCACTTTGCCTTCTAAATCACTGATTTGAATCTCTGCTTCATTCAACCTACTGCTTATTTCTTCTGGTGTATTCTTTATTTCAGATAATGTATTCTTCACTTATGACTGTTTTTTATGGTTTCTATGTCTTTTTTCATGCTTTTGAAGCTCTCACTGAGTTGCTTATAGTTATCACTATGTTCCTTGAGCATCCTTATAATAATTTTTTCCAACTTTATATCTCATAAATTGCTTGCCTCCATTTCATTTAGCTCTTTTTCTGGAGACTTTTCCTTTCATTTGGGGCATATATATCTTTTTTTAACAGTATTTTATTGATTATGCTATTACTGTTGTCCTAATTTTTCCCCCTTTGTTCACTTCCACACAGTACCCCTACTCCCTCAGGCAATCCACACACCATTGTTCATGTCCATGGGTCATGCATATAAGTTCTTTGTCTATTCTATTATTTATATTATACTTTACATCCCCATAGCTATTCTGTAACTACCTATTTATACTTCTTAATCCTTCATCTCTTCACCCATTCTCCCTCTCCCCACTTCCATCTGGCAACCTTCTGGTAACTAATTTCTTTTCTTTTGCTTTTAAAAGTCTCTCTCTTTATCTTTAAACTTTGGCCTTTTAATTATGATGTTGGAGTGGGCCTCTTTGCATCCATCATAATTTGGACTCTGCACTTTCTGGACTTCCATGTCTATTTCCTTCACCAAATTAGGGAAGTTTTCTTTCACAATTTTTTCAGATAGATTTTCAATTTCTTGCTCTTTCTCTTCTTCTTCTGACAGCCCTAGGAGGTGAATGTTGAACCTCTTAAAGTTGTCCCACAGGCTGTTTATACTATCCTCATTTTTTTTTGGATTATTTTTTTCTTATTGTTGATCTGATTGGTTGTGTTTTTCTTCCTTATGTTCCAAATCATTGATTTGATTCTCACCTTCATCCATTCTATTGTTGTTTCCCTGTAAATTGTTCTTTATTTCAATTAGTGTATCCTTTGTTTCAGACTGGGTCTTTTTTATGCTACTGAGGTCCTACTAAGTTCCTTGAGCATCCTTATAAACAGTGTTTTGAACTCTGCATCTGATAAATTGCTTATCTCCATTTCATTTAGCTCTTTTTCTGGAGTTTTGATCTGTTCTTTCATATGGGCCATGTTTCTTTGTCTCTTTGTTTTGGCAGCCTCCCTGTGTTTGTTTCCATGTATTACAGAGAGCTGCTTTGATTCCATTTCTTTGTAGTGTGGCCTAATGTAGTAGGTGTCCTTTAGGGTCCAGTGGCACAGCCTCCCCTATCACCCAAATTGGGTACTCAAGGTGTGCCCTTTGTGTGGGCTGAGTATACACTCTTATAGTTGAGCCTTGATTGCTGTTGGCAGATCAATGGGAGGGATTTACACCGGCCAGTCATCTACAAGGACTGGCTGTGACCACTGACCACCAACTTCCACCTTCTGTGGAGGATCAGCTGTGCAGGCGCAGGGTGGAGGTGCTCCAACATGTTCTGTAGCTGTCCACTGGGTGTGTTGGTCCTGGGGTTTCCTGGGTGGTACAGGC